AGTGGGAACCCTCTGCAAATCTTTGGAGCTCTCTGCCTGTGTCTCTCTCTCATTTTTGGTACTCTGCCTCTACTCTAACTACCTTGGCTCCCCTGTACTCCCAGCTTTGTCTCCATAACTCAGGGAGCACACTGGGCTTCACCTGAGCTCCCTCTCCCTGAGTTGCAGCCTGGAAATGTTCTCCAGCCAGTAAGCTGGGGCGATCAAAGGACTCACCTGATTTGTTTCCGATTTTTCACAGATCGCTGTTCTTGCTGTCTGATGTCCAATGTCTGAAAATCTTATTTCATACATTTTGTATGATTGCTTAGTTGTTGCCGGGGAGAAGGTATATCCAATCCCTTTTATTCTATCTTGGTCAAAAGTGGACGTCTATCGAGCTATTTCTTTTAGATAATGGTGGTTGTTGTGTGGTGTAGAGTCCATTCTGACTATAGCAACCCTATATGACAGAGTAGAACTGTCCCACAGGGCTTCCTAGGCTGTAATCTTTAGGAAAGCCGATCACCAGCTCTTTTCTCTTGCAGAGCTGCTTGTGGTTCGAACCACTGACCTTTCAGTTAGTAGCTGAGTGCTTAACCGTTGTGCCACCAGGGATCCAAGTTAGATAATGGTAGCTAAGTATAATGGGTTTACCCATTTTACAAATTAATCTTCTTTACTTCCAACATCTAATGTATATAAAAACTAGAGCTGATTTTCATCATACTTGGAGCCCTAATGGCACAGTGGTTAAGAGCTTGGCTGCTAACCAGAAGGTCGGCAGTTCGGATCCACCAGCTGTTCCTTGCAAACCCTATGGGGCAGTTCTACTCGGTCCTATAGGGTCGCTATGAGTTGGAATCCATTCGACAACAACAGGTTTGATTTTGGTTTTGCTCTAATTACCTAGTGCTGCTGTAACACAAATACTACAAGTGGGTGGCTTTAAAGAACAGAAATTTACTTTCTCACAGCTCTGGAAGCTAAAAAGTCCACATCAGGGTCTTGGCTACACAGATTCCTTCTCTTTGGGCTGTGAGACACAATTCAATCCATAACAACACTTCTTGACTATTTTATGTTTATACATTTGGTTTTAGATGCTACCACCAGAGGGCACCTTGGCCACACTACACGCATCATCTACGGGTTGGTATCGAACAGCCTATTAAACAATTTTTAATATATCTAGAACATTCTTGGTTAGCACAGGAATTCCAGGGCTTAGTCTAAAATACTCTGTGATCCTATCTGACACTTCCGTCCCGTTTAATATGTCAGTCCACTCTCGGTGTCCAGGACCAAGTCCCCTCTAGTCTTTTCCCCTTCCTTTGCAGTGCTGGGGCCCTGTAGTTGTAAAAACCCTGCATTTGCCCTGTGCACTTGCACTTATGATCATACACATATCACAGTGCTTCTTCAGATGCTGGAAGGCAACCCAGAATCCAGATAAGGATTTGGGCGGTTAGGTTCTAGTTATCTGTGACACCAAGTTTGGTTTGGTTGGATCCCTGAGTCTTATCTATGTCATAAGGTGGTTCTGTGTAGAAAGAGGTTTCCCAGAAAATAAAAGGGTGGGGTGACTTTAATCTTCACTGTTTGCCAGGAGCACAGGATTTGAGTAAAGTTCAACATCATCACTTTATTTGAGTATACTTATAGCTACAGTTTTTTGTGGTATTTAAAAAACAAAAAAAATTAGCATTGTATTAATCATTCCCATGACAGCTGTTTGTCGCGCACATTCCCAAATTTATAATAGCAATAGAGTTGACATTTGTAATCACAAGTTTACCTCTTGTGCTGGTTATTAAGGTACATTCCTCAGCTCAAACCCACCTTTCTGTACTCTGCTTTGTGATGTGGGGCTGGGACTCAGCAAACCCTATATCCTGTAAGGTTTGGACAATAAGGACTGCTTGAAGAGACTAGAAAGCTGGAAGAGGGAGAAGGGACTTGTTCCTTCATGTGTGCTTGCTGTTCTTGTTGGTGTCACTCAATGATGGTTCTTCACCCTGAGTGCAACGGTTGGTTGGAGTTTTCTAATTTTTAACTCACCCTCTCAGTTTCAGCCTCAATGCTTAAAAATAACAACACATCTGGGTACCACCTCTCCTCAGATGTCTGAGTCTCAGCTCCACTGGGGCCCTTTCCCACTTTTTGGGTTCTGACAACCCTAATCCTTTCAGTCTCCCCAGCTATATGACGGCAGCTGCTTCCTGCAGTTACTACCTATCACTCTATCGATGATTTCCCTTTCTGCCTTTTCAACGCTCCACTACCTGTTTAACCAACTCCTTAAATTCTCGGTAAAAATAACACTTGTGATTTCTGTTTTCTGATTGGACCCTGACTGATACACCGCTGAGAGATCCAGAAATACCTTCCAAATTACTTGTCTAGATTTACAATGCTTAAAAATAATTGGATTACATTTATGGTATACAGGCAGTATCCAACTGATATGAAGTATTCTAAAAGCTAACCTCTAAATCCATTGTTTGGATCTTGAAATTAATTTTTCTATCAAAACAATATTATACATTAAAGTTAGGTTATCAGACCATCATCAATATTCATAACAGAACTATTGTATGATACTGTACAACCTTGTTAGAGAACAGAATTAGCATTTCTTTGGAAACATATATTCAAAGTTCCAACCTAGTATGCTAGTCACAAATGGTAAACACCCTTTTAGATATTAAAAAATTGGAGAGAGTATGCTTATATGCACACTGTCTTAGTTATCTAGTGCTGCTATAATAGAAATACCACAAGTGGATGGCTTTAACAAAGAGAAATTTATTCTGTCACAGTCTAGGAGGCTAGAAGTCCAAATTCAGGGTGCCAGCTCCCAGGGAATTGCTTTTTCAGTTCTGGGGGAAGGTCCTTGTCATCAGTCTTCCCCTGGTCTAGGAGCTTCTCAGTGCAGGGACCCCGGGTCCAAAGGACACACATACAATTACAAAATGGAGGACAACCACACAATCCTGGGTATCGTGGCCTAGCCAAGTTGACGTACATTTTGGGGGGACACAATTCAATCCATAACACACACTAACTATTGACAATTAAAAACCAACTTAAAATATCCTTGACTTAAGCCCAGGAAGAAAAAACGGACCAAGAGGGATGGAGAAAACTTGTTATGCTAGTGGGAAAGTGGCAGGGATAGCTTTAGAATTACTAAAATTTATTGATTTAATTACATAATGCATTATAAGGGTTTTGCAGCATATTTGCCTTCACAATGCTTTTACTTAATGAATTTAAAAATATCATTTTGTTCCTTAGTAAACATGGTCATGTGGATTAGTGATGGAGAAAACAAATTGCAACGACTTTTCTCTAGTTCTAACTGAAATGCAAATTCTATGTATGCCTGCAGAAGATATTTTGAATTTCACTTTTGTTTCCATGATAAAAACATAATCCACAGGTAAAAAGAAGCTCATGTGGTCCCCTAGTTCACGGTCTTACACATGATACATTATAAGAAAATTACTTTCTTAAACAAAATTAAAGCAAGACGTCCAAGTTGTCATTGGAGAAGGAAATCTCCTTGGGGAAGGGACAAAATTCACCTGCCCCCAGGGATATTTCATTAGATCTGACACCAGAGTCACTACACTGACCTGCAGGGTGCTGCGTCGCCCAGTAGCAATTTTGCACAAGGTGAATGGGGAGCACAGACACAGTGACAGCAATCCTTTGGGAATATCCCCAAGCATAGAAGAGGAAAGGCCAGCTCTTAACAAAAGGGACATAAACATGTGGAGTTAACACGAAACCAGTGTGGCTTATGTGGTGTGACTATCTTATGCTCGGTGTACAGCCAGCTGTTATCCCCTGCCTGTCGCTGTGTGTACATATTTCAGCACCCACTCCTAAGGCATCTAATGTCTTTCAGGTCCAAAGCCCTTGAGGGTGAGCCCCAGAAATTCCGTGGTTCCCTCCAGGCCAACCCAGGTGTGCCCTCCGTTTTGATGACCTCCTCTATTAGAATGATGGACACCAGGAATGCCCTCCAACCTCAGGGAAACCCACCCACTCGGGGTCTCAACTTTACCCTCCAGCCCCAGCAGGACAAGGTGGGAGGGGAAGTGAGTATGTTCCTTCATACATGTGTGTTCAATAAACAAAACCCTGTTTTGTTCTCCAGGAGCTAAAAATCCATGGAAGAAGACACATAAACAACAGTCCTGTTGTTACAAAGTAGATTGTGTCAACTTTCGTAACTGTGACACAAGGCTGTATGGTATAAAGGGGGGAGAGATGTGTTTTCCACAGGACTGTGGATCGTTCCATAATTTGATCTTATTTTTTATGTGAAAATCCACATGAATTGAATGAGTTTTTAAATACTAAATTAAGCAAGTAGGGAAAAGAAAAACAAAAATGATATCTCTAAAATTGACAAGGTATACAGAACCTTGCATTTTAATTTTTTTGGGGGGGGTTATAAAACATTTTGTTTTTAAAATCAGGAAAGACAACACTTCTTGCGTTTCCTACCCAGGGAGGTGGGGGGATGCTTAACTGTTGTGTAAATTCGACTCCGACTCATAGCGACCCGACAGTAGAGAGTAGAGCTAGCTGCCCCATAGGGTTTCCAAGTAATCTTTAGAAAGCAGACCGCCACATACTTCTCTGAAAGAGGGAAGAGCGCCTGGTGGGTTCAAACCGCTGGCCTTTCGGTTAGCAGCCGAGTACTTAACCAGTGTGTCACCAGGGCTCCAGCCTCCGCGGGAAAGGGGCAAAAATTTTTAACAAGACCCCTCTCACGCGCATAGCTCAATCTCCCTTATGCTGTTCCGAGAACTAAGAACCAGGCTTAACCTGAGGCGGTGAAGAGAGGAGGCGCACAGATGTCCGTTCTCCCCTCCCAGGTAAAGCCCAGAGGGCGCGCTGACCTCAGCGCCGGAGACGTGCGCCCCTGGCGCCGCCGAGGTGGGCGAGGGGCGGGCATGGGGGCGTGGCGCGCGGGTGGGAAGCTGGGCAGCGCGGCCTGGGAGCGCTAAGAGCGCGGCGCAGGGCCGGGCGGGTGCACCGCGGCAAGAAGCACCTCGCTTGGCTTCTCTTGGGCTCCGGGCGGCCGGGGATCCTCCTTCGCCCCCGAGGCGAGATGCTCACTGCAGGTAACCAGCTCACCGTCAGCTCTCCCACGGCGGCGAGAGTGAGGTGCGAGAAGGGGAGCCGACTCTCAGCTGGGGCCCCCGCTTCCCGCAGCGGGGTGGTCTCTGCCGAGGTGGAGCAAGCGGAGGAGGGGCGGGAGGGACCGGTGCGCTGCCGGAATCCGCGGCAAGCGTGTGCGCCCTCCCTCGGCTTTCCTTTTCCGTCCGATCTCGGGGCCAGGATTCGGGTGCCCATTGTCACCTGGAAGTTACTTTCCGGCCTCTTTCCCGCTGGCTCGCGTTAGAAATCGGAGGAGTTGTCTGCTGGCGTGGATAGGATGGCGCAAATAGTTACTCCTGCCCTTTGGGGTGCTGTCCCCTTTTACTTCGTTTAACCCTAACCACAGACCCGCGCAGGAGACCTTATTACCCTATTTTACTGATAAAGAAGCCAACGCTAGGAGGATAAATGGCTCGCCCTGGGGCAAACAATTAGCAAAGGAGACGCTCGCCTAGAAGTCTAAAGTCCTCGTCTCTTCCATTCTTGCTCTCTCCCTTTCCTTCTTTATGCACGAGTCTAGGAAACTCGCACTGCTGGGTTTATTATGGAAACAGGTAATGTCAGGCGCAAGCTACTCCTCTCCTAGGTCTCTCCTAGGTTTTTTTTTTTTTTTTTTTGAGTCCCAATCTTTGAGTCAAATCTTTCAATTTTCGGTTATTACTTTTTTGGAGTGGAAGAAGCTCTTGCCCACAGCTCCTTTTTCTTCTTGCAGAGATTTCATTCAATGCAAAGCAAAACTCAGGCACTTTTGTCTGCTACACTCCATCTTATGTGGTAGATAAGGTCGCCTGCGGATCCAAGCTGGGCGTTAAGGGCCGCCCAGGTGGAGATAAGTTGTAGTCCCCGACGTCCTGTAGGTTGATATAAACGTTGCCTAGCATACTCTTTGCCTCATGATTTCTTTCTAAAAAGAGAGTCTTCTTATAGAAGAGGCATATTGGCAGGATATATCGTGTTTAGAGAAAGTGGTGCCTTGAGATGAGAACATGGCCATCTTAGGGATACGGTGGCCTGAATGTGGTAGGCGGTGGTAGGTGAGAGGTGCGATCCGGGACTTGGTGTCTTCCCCTCTCCTCTGGCTCTCTGCCTCCCCTTTCAGAGCTGTTCAGAGAGGCAGGTTTGTTTTGTAGAGGGAAGAAGGAGGGGCTAATGGTTTTTAAAGATCAGTATAAATTACCTGCTAGGAGCTTCGGCAGTTCCAGACAAGCCCCCGCTGCGTGAGGGTTTGGTAACAGATTTCAGTTCTGGCTGAAAACTCAGGCTCCGTGGATACCTGTTTTTGCTTAATGGAGGTTTTTTTTGTAGGCTTGCAAAATGGTAGTTTTGGAGAACTTTGAATTCTTAGAAATAGCTGAGTAACTCCTCTATTTTTAGGAAAACAATATATCATACTGTGAATTTACTTTTTTAAAAAAAGGTTTTATTGGTAGATGAAAGAAGTTTTTTTTTTTTTTTTTTTTCATTTCATAGTGAAGGTTGGAAGGTTGCCTGCCAAACTCCTCTGCTCTTCAACCTGGTCCTGTAAAACCAATTGTTGTGGAGTCGATAGCAACCCTGTAGGACAGGGTAGACTTGCCCCCATAGGGTTTCCAAGGCTGTAAACCTTTATGGAAGCCGACTGCCACTTTTTTCTCCTGAGGAGCACATGGTGGATTTCATGGTTAGCAGTTACGTGGTTAACCACTGCACCACCAGGAAGGACCTCCTTAGTTTTGTCCCTACCTTGGTACCCAATTTCACCCATCCTTCATTAAAGATAGTACTTATGGCTCACAAATTGCTTCCTTTCCATTCATAATTTAGTTACTTCATACTAAGAAAAATGGTTTCCCCTAGAACTGAGATGACATAATCAACTATCTGAAGGGACCAAGGAGCCCTGGTGGTGCAGTGGTTAAGAGCTCAACTGCCAACCAAAAGATCAGCAGTTCGAATTCACCAGCTGCTCTTGGAAACCCTACGGGGCATTTCTACTCTGTCCTCCAGGGTCACTATGAGTCAGAATCAACTCAACGGCAACGGGTTTGGGTTTTAAAGGGACGAAACAGATAATGGATATGAGCTGCATGGTTCTTGGTTGGGCCCAGGTGACCTGTGGAGGACCTGCTAACTCTGGGTGGCGATCAGCCAGTCCTGCCCAGTGTGGCCAAATCTTCCAGTTTGTTTTTTTTTCCCCAGGAGTAGCTGAAAAACCTTCATTTCTTAAAAATAATGTAAAACTTGCTTTTAAATATTGGCTATTTTTCCTTTTTTTTAAAACACAAAGAATCAAATCAAGTTCACGCATCCTCAGTTTGCAAAGCTCTGCCTTTGAAACTGCTATAAATAATGAATACGTTTTCAGGCAAGTGGAAAATTCTGACCTTTGATGCAGATATCATACATTTATATTAATTGAGGTGATAGGAACCAAACTAATGCTATTGAAAGTGATCTGTTATGATTCTCAAACTTTCTTTTCTATGAAGTGTATAGTATTTCTGCTGCATTGAATAAAGTAGTCTTTTGTGGGCCAGCCAAGGAATCTTGTCACCTTTTTTAATATCTATTTTAATGAAAAATGTATTGATGGTTCTAGCTCAGGATGCCAAATGCCTAACTCCCTGCTTTAAGAAGAGAGTTCTCAAGTGACTGCTCAAATCAGGTGTCTTTCTCTTGGAATAAGTACAAAGGAATAGTAGCACAATGAAAACGAATCTAAAGCAGTATTTCTACATCTTGGCACATTTGACATTTGGGGCCAGATAATTCTTTGTTGTGGGGGACTCTCCTGTGCATTTTAGGATATTTACCAGGATTTGTGTCCCTGGGTGGTGCAAACAGTTTATGTGCTCGGCTGCTAACGGAAAGGTTGGAGGTTGGAGTCCACCCAGAGGCACCTCAGAAGAAAGGCCTGGCAGTCAGTGTCTGAAAAATCAGTCATTGAAAACCCTGTGGAAAACAGTTCTACTCTGGGACACATGGTCTTGCCATGAGTTGGAATCAGTGACTAGAGAGGCTATTTATGAACACCTGACATTTTAAAAGATTTTTATAATAAAGATGACTAAACTGCTGCTCTTTGTAGACAGCCAGTGTGTCCTGCCAACCTGTGTCTCCAAAGAAATCTCACGGGTTCATTGTATCTTTTCAATCTCATGAAGTCTAAACTGTTGGTGACTAAAAAGAAATTATGCAGTAGCTTTCATTTCACCGTTTAGTATACACAGTGCCTTTCAATTTTTTAAGGTAATGGAGTAGCCGTTGACTACGTTTGTTGATCTGGGAAAATCAACACCATCTCTCGATAATAGAACCCCATACAAAAAGTTATAAGCAAAAATTTTAATAGAGGCTCGTGTTGATCAAATCGTGCTCAGAATAGAATATCATTTTAGGAAAAACGAAATGCTTTTTAACTAACAGCGGTAACTAAGGCTAGCATGTATTTCTAAAGTCTGAAAAATTCTGAATTTTATGAACATAAGCTCTGTATGATGAATGTTATAGCTTGTGTTAGAAGGAAAAAAATACCCCCCAAATTTGACCCTTTTCTTTAGTCTTAAAATGAGCTCAGGGAGATGAAAACACAGCTCTGGTTGTGAGAGATGCATCCTTCGTTACGGGTTGGCTATCCATTGGCCTCTTCCAGAAATCAGACTAATTTGCAATACTCAGGACCGGCTACATAATTTACGGGGCACTTGTTCAAAAATTATTAAGAATTTTCAAGATGATTACAGACAGCAGAACATTAAGCTCAGTGTAAGGGACCTGTGTGACTGCAGAGGTCACACACTCATGAAACTGGCCCTGGTCAAACTCTTTGTCTAGAGCCAAAAGTAGGGTTACAATCACAAATGCAAATCCAAAAATAGAAATGTTACTGCTGCCACAAAGGACCCAGAGTTTCTGATCCATTGATTGCACTTCTGTTTCCAGTCAGGAGTCTGCATGTATTTGGCAATTGATGCATAAAATTACTAAGAAATTCTCTGTTGATTAATTTTTCTTTTTCTAAAGAGGTAGCCACATTGTTTGGTAGGGCCCTGGGTACCTGAGCAACAGATTCATTCAGGCCTTCGTTGAACCACTGTTCACTGAACACCTGTTGTTATATCCTGGGTGGTTGTCTCTAGGGATGCAGCTAAGAGCAAAGGTCCCTACCTTTATGAGGCCTCCAGGCTAGTGGCTAGTTCCTGGATGGCACAAGTGGTTAAGTGCTCGGCTACTAACTGAAAGGTTGGTGGTTCCAATCTACCCAGAGGTACCTTGGAAGGAAGGCCTGCAGATCTACTTCTGAAAGGTCACAGCCATTGAAAACCCGATATGAGATTCCACTCAGAAACACATGGGGTCGCCATGAGTTGGAATCACCTTGATGGCAATATTGGTTTTTTTTTTTTTTTTTTAGGCTAGTGGCTAGCAAGCAAGGAGCCCTGGTGGTGCAGTGGTTAAGCGCTTGTCTGCTAACTGAAAGGTCAGCTGTTCAAACCCACTAGCCGCTCTGCAGGAGAAAGAAGTGGTAGTGTGCTTCCGTAAAGAAAGATTTACAGTCTTGGAAACTCAATGGGGCAGTTCCACTCTGTCCTGTAGGGTTGCTGCGAGTTGGAATCAACTCGATGGCAGTGAGTTTTTTTTTTAATGGGTAGCAGCCTCTTAGATGCTGTAACAAATTATCACCAAATAGGTGGCTTAAAATGACAAATTTATGATCTTATATTTCCGGAAGCCAGAAGTTTGAATTTAGGGTGTTGGCAGGGCCATACTTTCTCTGAAGGCTCTAGTGGAAGATCCTTATTTCTCTCAAAGGTTTGGTAACCCCAGGCATTCCTCGGCTTGTGGCAGCATAACTCCAGTCTCTGCCTCCACCTTCACACGGCTGTCTTCCTTCTGTGGCTCTTCTCTTTTATAAGGACATCAGATACATTAGACTGGGACCCACCCAGCTCCAGCATGACCTCAGGTTAACTGATAACATCTT